CATCAAAAGGATTTTCGTCGTCCGCCAGCTGCGAGATAAGTGTCAAGAGATGCGGACCCAGCTCTGAGCTACCGTCATGGATCTGTGGTAGACAGCCAGCAATGCTGTCCACCTTCCTTGTTCAACTGAATAGAGCAGCCTTCTCCCAAAAAATCAATTTCAGAAAATGCTCTATGCAGATCAGCGTCTGCGGTATATCGATTTAATGAGTTTTTTGAGACCAGTTTCCAGTTACAGTAAACACGAATATCACATCTACCGCTCGTGTAGATTACTCAAGATCCAGAACAATCTCCAAAGAAGATAGTATTGCCAGCAAAGACAAGGGAGACTGGAATGGCCATTTCTGACTCCCTAGCCGTCATCAGGCAGTCATACCCAACCCCAACTGGTGCTTGGCTTGGCTTGTTACGGCTGCGATCATGACTGATCTAGACGGCCTCAATTATGTCCCGTATGGTGCTTCTCCCCGCCCGACGATCCGTGGCCGCAGACCTGGACAGTTCGACCCATTGTCTTCGCCAGCGCCAGAGACCGAAGGTCCGAGAACCACTTCCATGTCTTGACGGACTGAGTCGAGCCAGGTTTTGAGTTGACCCCAATGAATTTTATGTCCTATAACTGCAATACAATCCCAACTGGTACACCAGCCGAGATTCGAACTCGCGACCTTTGTGATCAGAGTGTACCACTCTTACTATTGAGCCACGAGCTCGTCATCTTACCCGGAGATATTGACACTCGTTGATGAACGTTCACCGACCACTAGCGGAACTCACTCGTCCCGCTCGGCCTTGGGTCTCATTTTTCGGCTAGTAGTCTATGTAGATAGCATTGCCGGCAAAGGCAGGGGAAACTGGAATGGCCGCTTCTGGCTCATTAGCCGTCATCAGCCAGTCAGGCCCCAGCCGAGGCTCGAACTCGCGACCATTTGATCAGAAGTCTAACGCCCTTACCATTGAGCCACCAGCTCGTTGTATCCAAAGAAATGTTACAGAGAATTCACTGGCAACTAGAACCCACACAGCCATATAAGGGGACGTCCGGCGTCCAATATTATCTAGTTTTGATGAAATTGATCATTCTACTGCTTAAAACATTTTTTGCTTATCAAACTGGCGCGAACAATAAAGAAAAGTGTTTCACCTTAACAAATTAGCCAAGGAAACCGAAACGTTCCCCGCAGAAACTACACAGCTCATCCGAGATCCGCGGTGATAGCCTGTTAACTAGAATGCTCATTAGGAAAACGGAAGGATCTTATTTTGGTTCCCAAATGAGTTAAGTTTGTTGCCCACCTTAGGCACAACTAGCCCTAGAATTCTGTCTTGCGAGACCGGTGGCATTCATTTAATTTAGTTTAATTTCAGTTTTAGTCTACTTTAGTTTTTAGTTTAGTATACAGTGATTAGTTAAGTATCTTTATCAAAATTTGTTGGTACATGACTAAACTAAAAAGTAAACCAAACTAAAATTAAACTTGCGAAAATTCCCATCAGACAATTCAGAAGAGTATTTGGCGAGCATACGTAGCTTTCGATA